TTATCACTGCCATCGTCACTGAACCTGGGCCTGGCCCTTCTGGAGTATTCTTCAGAGTAAACTCAGTTGGCAATGTAGAACGTGCTCACAAAAGTCAGGCATTTTAAGATTTCATTTACACAAAGCCATTAATTTGCTGAGAACTGTTTGCTCTGTGCTGAAATTCACCTGTTTTCCTATTCAGGTTTGGGGTCCGCCCTCTACCCAAACGCCAGATGGTCCTAAAGCTGAAGGAGATATTCCAGTACACTCACCAGACTCTGGAGTCCGACTCGGAGAACGAAAGTCAGTCCTCCCAGGGGCCCCCGCAGGCTCCGCACAGCCAGACCCACGCCAGCAGGACCTCCAAGGCTCCCAGGGCCCCCGGCCGTGCCCGACTGGAGGCTGCTTCTGGCCCTCTTCCCCAAAGGTCCAAGGGCTCCACTAAGACCAAGGGCCCCCAACATCAGAAGAAACAGCCTGGTGGAAGCATCCCTCCCATGAGCTCCTCACCGGCCAGGGAGGGGCCTCCAGACCCTGATGGGGACGCCCAGCTCCCGGCCTCCCAGGAATCCGTGGCCTCCTCCGTGGATAGCAGTGACAGCTCCTTTAGCTCACTAAGGTAATGGGATGGGAGGACAGGGCCAGGGGGGCTTCGCAGGTCCCCTGACCCCGGGTCTCGGATTTGGCATAAGCCAGGTCTAATGCCGAGAAATCCCACTGCCTTCTGGATTGGAACTGGAAGATGCCATTGGGGTGAAGGGCCGTCCCCTGTGGGCCTCCCAAGCGGACCTCTAGAGCTCCCGTGTCCTCGCCGCACAGGATGCTCTCTGGCTGCTGGCAGTGGACTGTGGCCGAGGCTCGGAGCCTGCTCGGGCAGGCGGCTGGGGGGCGGGGAGCACGGCAGCCTGGCGCTTCCCGCCTCCCGGGGAGGCCGTCCGTGCCAGGGTCGGGCTCTGCAGGGGACACCCGCACTCCTTCCACAGAGGGGCTCCTGGTCTCAGGCGCTGGAGAGGACAAGTGTCACAGGCTGTTTCTCGTCCCTTTCAGCTCTTCTTCCTGTGAGTTTGGAGCGGCCTTTGAGTCTGCAGAGGACGACGAGGGCGAAGAGGAGGGCAGCGCGTCCCAGGCGGCCGAGCCCGCAGCAGCCCCGGAGGAGGCCGTGAGGCGCTACATCCGCTCCAGGCCGGCGCTCTACCGCAAGGTCCTGCTGTACCAGCCCTTCGAGCTGGCCGAGCTGCAGGCTGAGCTGAAGCGGCACGGCGTCCGCGTGGCCACCCAGAAGCTACTGGACTTCCTGGACGCCCACTGCGTCACCTTCACCACCGCCGCGGCCCGGAAGGAGAGGCTCCGCAGGGAGAGGCGGCAGCCGCTGGGCAAGAAGAGGGGCCGAGCCGCCAGGCCGGTCCGTCCCTCCCCCTCACAGGCCGTCAGCGGCGTGTGAGGCCCCGCAGCCGCCCGCGGCGAGCCAGGCCTCCACGGCCCTTTCTGGGTCTGGGGACCGCATCCTTCCCTCAGGAGAGGGGCCACGGCACCGAGCTGGGTCAGCTGTCCCCAACTCCTTTTCCTGGGGTCGTGCTCGGAGCGTGGCACCCGTGGCCCTCCCCTCTGTCGGTGCCCGCTGTTTGTCTCCCTTTAACCCCGCCATGCCCCCGGGTGCTTCAGGAGGGCGGCAGGCGGGGTTCTCCAGACACACAGTGTCCCCGTCCTGAGACGGATGCCCAGGGCCAGCTTGCCCCTGCCCCACCTTCTCTTCCAATCGCAGCCTCCACTAGCACACCAGGTGTCCACCAGCCTCTCGTGCTGCCAGGCCTCGGCTGGCCCAGCCATCCTGCCCAGACACCTGTCCTTGTCACCAGCAGTCTCCAAACTAGGCAGTGCAGGAGGGCCCAGCCCAGCTCCGAAGGCCCCAGAATCCACATGTTGTTTGTTAACTGGCTCTGTCGGTGTGTAGTAAGGCTGTCTCCGGCCTCTGGAGTGGGGTGGAACACAGGTGACAGCCAGAAAGGAAGAAAAGTTGGGGTGTCTACATCCTTGTGAATGTCTCGTTTTAAATACAGTGCAGCCCATTTTCTATGATGTGCAATAAAAACTAAAAGGCTTTATAAAAATCTTCCAGACGCTCCACTGTAGAAAGATGATGAGGGAAGCTGGCTGGGAGCTTGGCCCCCACACCCGAGTCTGCAGAAGGCCTTTGTGCCTGTCCTTCATTGCAAGGGGTGAGCCAGGCCTGCTGGCTCCTCATGTCCCTTTGGTTCTTAGGTAAGACATGCGTGTTCATCCATTTGCCCACTTTCAGACAGCCCCTTGCTGCGGCCTGGGGCGCAGCCCTGTGACCCCGGGGATTGTTACAGACACAGCCTTGGGCCTGCCCAGACCCACTGAGTCAGGATCTGCGTTTTCCCGAGATGAGCCTGTGATGCCTGCTGTGTCCTGGGCCCGGTGGAGAGCGGTCAGAAGCTAGCGGGTGCTTCTAGGCTTCAGCCAGACTGACTTGTCCCCATGCTGGATGTGAGGGTCCGTGCTCAGGGGGCCTCAAGGGACAACTTCCTGGGAGAGCAGGGGGACTGTAAGCTGGGCCTCAGGTGCACGCGGCATCCAGGAGGTGAAAGCGTTTTTTGAACACACGCTGTAGGATGCCGGGGCTCAGATCTCACGGCTAACAGCAGAGGAGACTAAAGATGGAATCTGGCCTGGTCTAGAAGGTACCATGTGTTTCTTACACCAAGGACTTGCTTCCCTACCCTACTATGGACTGTTTTAGGGAAGTGAGGTGGGGTTTGGGAGGTGGGAGGTCACTTGGAGTCCTTACCCGGCTTCACTGACTCCTTATGGAAACCCTAGACTTGGATGGGCAGCTGTGGGTGTACTGGGAGCCCTTGCTCCGTGGAAGGCAGCCCAGACGGCCGGAAGCTTAACCACCTGCAGGTTGATAAGATATTGGGGGAGGGGTTGAAACAGGTAAAAAGCTGCAGACGAGGGAAAGGTTATGGGGAAAGCAAGGCCTGGTGGCGGAGGGCCTTGGCCAGGTCAGGTCTATGCAGTGTGTCCCCAGGGACCAGCAGGAGCCAGCAGCGGGCCTGGCCAGGGCCTGAGCCCATATGCAAGGCAGGCAAAGGGTTAAAAACCAGCGCTGCGGTAAAGACACCCCCACAACCAGAGAACAGGCAGTGTCCTTGACCTTTCCACAGAAGCCAGACCTACTGACTCGCAACCAGAAAATTAGATCCAGCTCCCCGAGAAGGAATCTGATGTAGATGAGCGAGGCTTGCAGTGGGCCTGCTGCACAGCGGGCAGACGGACACTGCCTTCCAGAAGCCCTGCTCGGCCGCCGTGAGGGGTACTCAGCTCAAGAAAACAGCGTGCTGAGCCCCAGAGCAGTGGAAAGCCACGTGGCTCCCATGCCTTGCTGTGCTGTGTTGAGCCCTCCCCTGCCTGCCCGCTTCCTGTGGCTGGCCTGGCCACGGTTGCTCCACAGGACGGTCACAGCCCACCTCGAGCAGGGTCCAGGCAAGGGGGTCCCCGGGGGCCTGCACAACCTCCGGGAGGCCCGTGCCCTTGCAGGCAGTAAGCCTCGGGCTGCCTCTGAGTTGGGAAGGGCCGAGGCCCTGCCTGTCTGGCTGTCACAAGTCTGGGTGGACAGCGAGCTCCAGAATGAGAACCACCGTGGGAGACGGTGCCCCAAACATACAAACACCCAGGAGAGTCAGGACGAAGGTCTCTCGGCCTCTCACGGAGTAGCTGGCAGAGGGAGCCCATGGGCCAGCCCTGGATGGCCACGGGCCCTCTGTGTGGGGTGGAGGCCGAAGTTGCAGAGGAGGGCGCCCAAGACCCCCAGGGAGCAGGCTGCTTCCTCCTGTGCTCAGGATCCCCCTCCCCGAGCTGTGGAGGGGGGAGCAGAGCGTGCCTCCTGGCGTCGCTCAAGTGACAGATACCTACCAGGCCCCTGCGGCTTCCAACATCCTGTGGGCGGCCTGGTTTCAGACTCCTTCGGTGCACCTCCCAGCCGCGGCTACAGTGTGTGCTCTGACGGCCGGCGGCCTCAGCAGGCTTCTCGAGGGCAGCCCCCAAGCGTCTCCGCCGGCACCGGCAAGCTGCTGGGGCCTCTGAAGGCACTGCTGGGAGGGAGGCAGGGAGGGGGGCCCAGAAGGGTGTCACTGCACAGAGAACTTCTAATCTACCACTGCAGTCCCCTCTGCTCCCTTCTCCACCATCACCTGCGCACAGCCCAGGAGAACAGGCTGAGAGAAGCACGTGGCCCTTCCCACCGCCCTTTATCCCCCAGCTGCCGCCATCGCCTGAACCCACTACCCTCCTGCTCTATGACCATCAATGGCTCCCAGCTGGCCTGCTTAGGAAAACTGAGCCACCCAACCCTGGGCTCCCACCTTGTCTCCGTGGCTCCACATTAAGGGGCTTGCCTCCTGTCACCTGAGGATGTCCTGTACTTTTCCTCTATCTCCTCCGTACTATTCCTCATGCTTTTGTTGTCCACTCTGGGCATGCCCTTCCCCTTACCCCTTCACGCCCACGTGCTGAGGCCCACCTCCGGGGCCTGAGGAAACTGCCACACTCTGCTGTTTCAGAGTACAGCCGGCCTGCCTTTGGGAAGACGCTGTGGGGTACAGCTGGGGTGCAGGTGCCTGCTGGGTGCTAGAGAGAGGAAAGCACAGGAGATGAGACAGGGGGCCACGGCCACAGCACAGCGTGCCAGCCTGGAAGTGAGAGGGCTCTGCTCCAGACACAGTGGCCAGCTTCCTGCTGTGTGGCCTTGGACAAGTCACTGAACGCCCCTGCAGCCCGTCTCATTTCCCTCCGGCCCCACAAAAACCAAGGTCTGCTGGTGCTGAGACTGTTTTCCTCTATGGCCTTGGTTGGACCTCTCTGCTGAGCATGACGTCTGCAAGGGTCCTCAAATCAAGATCCTAGCAGCACCCCTGCCTCTCTGACTTACAGGCAGCGACAGGGCCAATCCGGGCAGCCGTGGCTCACTGATTTGTCTGAGAGGCTGTTGGCTTTTGAAATCAGACAGGAAGGAGGGTTGAGGTGGAGCCCGGCACAGGAAGAGGTGAGGAGCCCCAGCTGGCGTGACAGCCGGTGGGCTCGGGGGACTGCAAGAGCCGGCAGGCCGCAACCCCCCTGCCCTGCTCGGGCAGCACCTCCCCATCCCTTCCCACAAGACCTGACTCCTGCCTTGCACAGATCCTGAGGGCTCGAGGCCCGGCTGGCCGGCCACAGAGAATCCCAGGACACCCCCCACCCTGCCACCACGCCGCTGCCTCCACCCACTGGAGCAGGGCTGAGCGTGGGAGCACCGGGATGGAGCAGCCCCAGCCCCCCAGTCTCGGCCTCCCTAGGACAATGAGGCCCAGGAGGTAAGTCAAGCCTGGGCTGCCTCAGCACAGGATGGGGAGGAAAAGAGACTGCAGGAAGGACCGTGACTTTTAAGGCCTGAGCTGCTGTAGGGGGCAGTGGCTGGGTGGCGCGGAGAAGATGTCCCCGTGGGTGCTGGCAGCTGCTGAGCAGGACTAGTTCTCCGTGTGGAATAAACAAACATGTGCCCGAGGGCGGCCCACAATGGGCCGAGGGGACACAGCCCAGCTCCCCGGTACTAATGATGGGCTAGGAGGAGCAGGAAGTAGCCAGCAAATGCTGCAGGCAGGCAGAAGGGAGGTCGAGCGGGGCAGCCCAGGGGAGAAACCTGGCATCTTCAGACCTGGGCTCCATTCCTGGCATTCCCCTTCCACCTGTAAGATGGGGGTGACAGTGCCAGACTTGCCCCAGGGTCCTGAGCACCAAGGGTGGATGGTGCAGGTGGGCAGGGGTCCTGTTGGGTGAGCAGCCCCAAGGGCTCTCTCCCAGCCACTCCTTTGGACGGAGATGAGGCGTGTCGTTCTGAGAGAGATGGCAACCACATAGGCCTTCTCAGAAGGTGCTGCTGAGCTGGGCTGGTGTGGCTGCTGGGCATGGGGGCCATGGCCCAGCTTCTGGGCTCCCAAGCTCCTCTGGGTCTCCTCAATGGGGGCCACAGGCTTTCCCCGAGCTGGGGTCTCTCTCTTGGCCACCACAGGCCACTCTGAGGCTGGCTCCCAAGTGGGGTGCCGGCTGGCCGGCCCTCCTCTCTCCCAGGGGCACAGCAGTTTCACGAGGGCTGTGTCCTGCAGCAAAGGCACCACTTCCTCCCCTCTCTGGGAAAGGCTATTTGGTTTCAAGTGGTCCACAGCCATGGTGCTGGGCTGCCTCAAAGGGGCTGAGAACTGTGCTCTTGGGCCTTGGGAGGCGGGGTGGGGGCGGGGAGTCGGGAGAGAGGAGCACCCCCGAGCCTGTGGCCTGAGGGAAGGGCAGCCCAGGCAGGAGGTCAGCTCCGTGGGGTTTACAGCCGTGGAGTGCAGGCGGGCCGAGGGAGGCTGGCCGTCGTGCACGGGCCACAGATGGCTAGGACTAAGGCCCCAGGAAGGGGAGCACAGGACAAGACAGGACCTGCTGGGAGAGCTGATGAGTCAGTCGGGACCTGCGTCTTATTAGGGATGAGACAGAAGCTCAGCTCTAGAGCCTGAGGGACAGGGTCTGAGTGACAGCGAAACCAGCGAGCACAGGTCCTCCGCTGCGTCCTACCCCACGGACGAGGCTCTGGAGGATGCGTGGGCAAGGGGAAGCCAGGCTCCGGGAGAAGGGCGTCCGTCTGGTCTGGCCCCGCCCAGCACAGCTCAGACCTTCTCATACTGACGGACTTCTGGCCTTCAGATCCCCCAAGGCCCCCCGAGGCCCACCTGCCATCCATCGTCCCCACCTTGAGGCTGGCGGGGCCTCTTTCCACTCTCACTAGAGGAGGACTACACTGGGCAGGACCTGTCTGACCGTCCCTGGTGGACATGTGGCCCCTGGGTCATGCTCCACTCAGAGGCCTGGGGTGAGTTCCACCCTGCAGGGCAGCATCTGGGCTGCACACAGGGCCTGCTGCCACGAGTGGCCAGGTAGCTGTCCCGTGGAGGAGCTCTCTCATCAGCCTCCGATGCTGGCCCTGGATTTTAAAGTATAAGTACACCCCGTGGAATACTTGGGATATACTTATACTGAAAGAACCATTGTTTATCTGAAAGTGAAATTTTACTAGGTGTCCTGTATCTTAATTTGCTAAATCTTACCCTCTCCCCCGAGGTCGGCAGGGCTTAAGAAAGAGCAGTGTCTGATTCAGAGGAAGTGCTGGTTTCCAGCACAGAGAGCCTGATGGGACTGCAGGGTGGGGGCGGGGGGAACTCACCCCTCCCAGCTTCCCAGACACACTCGGTCCTGTCTCCTCTCCCCTAACTCTTGCCTGCTGTGGTCCCTCCTCTGTCACTTGCCCAGCCTCTCTGATCTAGCGGTTCTCAATTCTGCCAGCTCCTTACAAGCATCTGGGTAGCTTTAAACTACACACGTGTTGAGGCCCTACCTCACACCAAAGACACCTCTAGGTGGTTGGGCTAAGCAGTGGCTTTTTAAAAATAGTGCTGCGTGGAAGGGCTGTCTGATTTGGCCATTCCTCCTCTGAGTACATACACCCCAAGGGCTGACAGCAGGGACTTGAACAGGTATTTGCACACCCGTGTCCACAGCAGCATTTACTCACAAGAGAAAAAAGGTGGAAACAACCCAAATGTCTTTCAAGGGATGAGTGAACACAAAATGTGGTCTGTCCATAAGATGGAATATTACTTAGTCTTAAAAAGGAATGAAATGTTCATATGTGTTAAAACAAGGATGAACCTGGAAAACATTATCTTCAGTGAAAGAAGCCAGACACAGAAGGACAGACACCATATGATTTCACTTCGGAGAGGTCCCTAGAGAAGTCAGCTTCACAGCGATAGAAAGCAGAAGGGTGGGTGTCAGGGGCTGGGAGGAAGGAAATGGCAAGCCTAGTGCTTCATAGGGGCAGAGTTCCCATTCGGGGGATGAAAAAGTCAAGAGGTAGATGGTGGTGACGGTCTCACAGCATTGTAAATGCACTTAGTACCACTGAATCGTACACTTAAAAAAAATGGTTACAATGGCAGTTTTTACGCTGTGCCTATTTTAATAAATTACATTTAAAAACTGCTCTAGACACTGTCCTGCCAGAGCGGAGAAGCACTGAGCCTGGTCCCCTTGTACGGCCACCACCCCTGCCCCCGGCAGCAGCAGTCTGTCACCCGTGGGGGCCTCTGGACAACCAGTGACAGAAGGCCATGTCGAGCCCCGGGCCGTTGACATGACTGATGCCAACAGTTGGACAGACGCCCTAGCGTCCTGGCCTCATGGGCTAAGGGGCCCCAGGAACATTGCTTCCTTTGGGTTTAGGCACATTTGCATTTGTAGAAAACGGCCAGCATCACTGGCTTTGATCTGAGCTGTACCTTACAGATAGTAAGAGAACTCCACGGGTTCTTACACGTGTACATGCCTGCGTGTCTGTCCCAAGCAGATCCACGTGTGGAGGTTTCCAGTGCCCCAGAACTCCCACAGGCCCCTGCCCATTTGGAACCACCCCCGAGGGCAGCCACTGCTCTGCCTCTGCCTAACTGGTTGGGCCTGACTTTAGGAATCACAGAGCGTGGTCTCGTTTCTCTCACTCCACACGTCTGCGAGAGTCAGCCACATGGCTGAGTGTGTCAGTCCTCCGCGTTCTGTCACTACTAGGCAGGAAAAAAAAAAGGAAACCCATTCTATTGTTGATGGATATTGGTTGTTTCCACCTTTTTGAACACTATGAATAAAGCTGCTAGAATATTCTGACACAATGTGTTGATGGATATAAACACTTGTTTCTGTTGGATATACACACACCCAGGCAGGGAATTGCTGGATCACAAAAAATAGGCATAATTAGTATTATCACCACCAAACATTTTTTCAAAGTGATTTCAGTTTCCATTTCTCTGATGACTGAGGATATATATATATATAGATATATGTATATGTTATATGTATATGTATATATAATATATATACATATATATTATATATACATATATCTATATATATATTTTACTATTTTAAAACATTTTCTTTCTAAGAAGGGGGGGAAGGGCAGAGGTGAGAGAGAGAAAATCTTAAGCAGGCTCCATGCCAAGCAAAGAGCCGGACGCAGGGCTTGATCTCATGACCCTGAGACCATGACCTGAGCCCAAATCAAGAGTCTGATGCTTAACCAACTGAGCCACCCAGGCACCTCTCTAATGACTAAGGATATTATCTTTTGTGATACATCTTCAATTTTTTGGCTCAATTTTAACTGGGATGTCTCACTGATTTTTAAATGTATCAGAGACATCCCCTAGTCAGCAGTCTGCTTTCTCACCCTTTTAAAACTGTCTCCTGTTGAACAGATATCCCTAATTTTAATGAATCCTAATATGTCACTCTTTCCTTTCATGGTTAGTGCTTTTGTGTGCTCCATCTAGTCCTTACCTAGCTCAAGTTCCTTAAAGCGTTCTGTAGTTTTTTTCTAAAGGCTTGGCTGTCTTACACACACATTTACATCTATGATCCAGCTTGAATTAATTTTTGTGCATGATGGGAGGGAGGGGGTCAAGGTCCATTTTCCTATAAGACTATCTCATTGGAGCAGCACAATTTAATACAAAGGCCATCCTTTCTCTGCTGAACTACAGCGGAGCCCTTGTTTCACATCTGGTGACCATACACATATGGGTCTCTTTCTGGACACTCTATTGGTATCTGTCTGCCTTTGTGGCAATACCCACATCCCTAGACTAGCTTTGATATTGTGTAGTGTAAGTTTTCAAGCTTTGTTCTGCTTTTTCAAAATAATTTTGGCTAGTCCAGAGTCTTTTGCTTTACATACATGTCTGAGAATCAGTTAGCCAACGTCTACCCTCCCTTCCACATCAAAAAAGCTTGCTGGAATTTTGATTAGAGAGTCATTCAATTTATAGGTCAATTTGGGAAGAGATAACATTTTAACAATATTAAGTCTTCCAACCCATTAATATGTTAAATCCCTACTTTAGGTCTTCTTTAATTTCTTTTAGTATCTTTTGTAGTTTTCAGTGTGGAGGTCTTGCAAATTGCTAGATTTATTCTTAGGTATTTGCTTTTTAAATATTTCAAGATTTTACTTTCAATTTCATTATTGATAGCAAGCAGAAATATATATGACATTTTTATGTATTGATCTTGTGTTCAGAAACTTTGCTAAGTTCATGTGTTAGTTCTAATCAATTGTAGATTCTTTTGGATTTTTAGTGTATACAATCATGTCAACTGGAAATAGTGACAGTTTTTTTTTCCTTTTCCTATCCTGATACTTTTTATAGTCTCATTTTCCCTAGTGCACTAACACCTAATTAAAAAGTGAAACAAAACAAAATATCAACCAGAAGAGGTTCCTCCT